CACCTCTGTCTACACAGGACAACAGACGCTACAATACAATGATGCAACAAACTAGTGTCGTTCCCATTGATCCGTTTGTCGTGTATTTTTAAGTGCGTGTGCGTGTGTGTTTGTGTGTGTTTGTGTGTGTGGGGGGGGAGAGATGGAGAGGAGAGGGGCAAAAGGGGCTGCGATAGTAAGAGAACAAGATACATGTACATGTATAGGTAAGTGAAGTGGGAAAATATCAACCTGGCTGGCCCGGCAAATATAAATTCTTTTTATTTGACTGAAAGCCAGAGGTATATTTTCAGTAGAAGGGAGGAGGGTGATGGCGCGTGAAATTCAGTTATGTATAACGAATATTTAGTTCCTTGGGGGTTAGTACCTCTACTCTAAAAAACAAGTGTGTGGAGAAGCTTTAAATTTCTGGAGAGAACATCAGTTATACTGACTGGTTTGAACGTGCGCACTGAAGATTGGGCGTGTTAAGGAAACCTACATTATACACAGGCTTGAAACTGGTTCATACTGCATCTTTTTTTTTCTTTAGTTTTATTATTTCAAATTCTCATGTATATTTACTAACCGTGATTTAGATTTTCGTTCTATTGTAAGATGTCTTTCTTCCATGCCCGAATATATATTGGAGCATGCAAACTGCGAACAAAAAGGTGTTCTTATTTGTTTTCATAAATAAATCGTTCTCGTAACTCTTTTTTTTTTTCAAGATATCTGGTTGTCCTTCTGTTCCTCTCCCCTATCAGAGCAGAGAAACTGAATGCATTGCACGTTTTCTGCACAGTATGGTACTTGTATTTGCGAGTGCTTCATTCTTGATAATATGTTTGTTTTACTCTTTTGGTGTCACCAAGTATTATATTTATATCAATTCAAGGTGAAAATTCTGATGAGAACACTGATGCATGTGCTCATAACATGTAAAGTGTTAAACGTGAACTGTTTGTTGTTTCACCTTTTATTTTTTAAGGTAAGAATGTGATTTTTTTTCCTCAATGCAAGAGTTTTTTCCTATGTAGATGTTTTTCGTGGGGGGAGGGGGGTTTCTGGGTTTTTTTCTTTCAAAGCGATCATGCTGAAGCATTAACATAAAGTTTTTGATGGCATTCTAGGATTTGAATGAGCTCCACGTTTGAATGTTTAAGTACATAAGTATGTGGTAAGCGTATGGGTGTGTGCCTGTGTATGTATGTATTTCTGTGTGTGCATGTGCGTGTGCGTGCGCGCGCGCGCGTGTGTGTGTGTGTGTGTGTGTGTGTGTGTGTGTGTGTGTGTGTGTGTGCGTGCGTGCGTGTGTGTGTTTGTATGAGTGTGTGTGAGTGTGTGTGTGTGTGTGTGTGTTTGTGTTTGTGAAGGGGGGGGGAGATACTGTGTGTGCATGAATATGCGAATGTGTCTGTGTGTATATTAATGTGCAAATGAGTCTATGTGTGTTTGTTTGCCTGAATTTTCTATTCCTTCTATTTCTGATATTGTTGTTAACGGTACAGCGACTGTTGCTTGCTTTGAGAGGGTTGGGGGGGGGGGGTTGGGTGTGGTAGGGGAAGCGGAGGGAGGGTGGAGCTTTTTATCGTGAAAAAGTTGGAAGGATTTTAGAAACATAACATGTTCTGTCTAGCTTTCGAAGGAAGACCGTAAAAGAGTGGTGTCCCTTCTTGATATGAAAGAGACTGAAATAGTACGTGGGGAAGCTGGAAAAACCTTTCTGTTACACCATTCAGTTTTGTGATTACGCCAGGGTACTTTGAGAAAAAGCAAAACTGTGTTATGTACAGAATTATAGCTGCAGGGTTTGTTTGTTTTTTGGGGGGGGGGGGTGTTTTGTTTGTTGTTGTTGTGTTTTTTTGGGGGGGTGGGTTGTTTATTTTAAAGACAAACACTCATTAACACTGTAGGCATGTCAGTGTATACATATATCATTATAACATACATTGTAGACGTAATATATTATCACACACCTCGCAGGTATATCAATGCATCAAGTGCTATTTCTTGAGCTGCAGTTTAACTTCAAGATATTGGTAAGTGAGGCGCAGTTAAACTTTTCATGTGAAATGTCTTGTTCAGATGCTACCAAATAGATCCTGACGTCGAGTAGAATTGCTACTCAAGTAACGGCGTCTTAGTGTGCTGGCGTGTCATGTTAGTGCAGTCTCCTCCATCTACTTCTTGGCAGTATTTACGTTTGTTTTAGTTTGTTCTTGGCAAAACGTGGTCGTTATTGTACCGACTCACAGAGAACGGCCACTCATTATCGGTGCACAAATGCGTTATTGTATTACCGTATCCACAGCGCACTCAGGGGAAAGATGTCAACAACACTACAGCTGAGGTATTTGTGCACGTTCAGTCATTTCAATATCCATATCTCGTTGTTCACTACAGTCAGTTGGTATTGTGCCGCTGCATGCATACACCCCACCCTTCATTGTTTGCATGGTGATTGTACCTAGCACTGTATGCTTCCCGGGACGCCAAGAATGTATCTGAGTGTCCTGGGGTCTGCTGGGTGTAATAATAGTTGTAAAGAGCATAGAGCATGTTGCAGAGCATGGATATGCGCTATATAGCCTAAATGCAATTATTTTTATGAGCACGTCACATTATGCGACTGGAAATCGGCCACCATTTGCGTTTGTGTGGGGGAAAAGTCGCTGGTGGCTTCCGAAGTTTTGCTTCTGGATCGGTTAGATCGTAAAAATTCCAGTACAAAGAACATTTTGTTGTCGTGATAGTTGTTTCTCGTGGACTTGTCTGAATATACGTGTGTGTGTGTGTGTGTGTGTGTGTGTGTGTGTGTGTGTGTATGTGTGTGTGTATGTGTGTGTGTATGTGTGTGTGTGTGTGTGTGTGTGTGTGTGTGTGTGTGTGTGTGTGTGTGTAATGCGATGTTGTAATCCAGTTTGTCATGATCACGATCACAACTACGATCATGCTCACTGTCACCTTTTTATCTTCAATTTTCGGTCTGGATTGTGGTATGCATTAGTTTCTTTTCTTCCCATTTGTTTGCCTCTTCCCCGTCTCATTCGCTGTCGCTATACCCAATTCTCTCTCTCTCTCTCTCTCTCTCTCTCTCTCTCTCTCTCTCTCTCTCTCTCACTACCTCTTTCTACCTCTCTCTCTACCTCTCTCTACCTCTTTCTCTCTCTTTTTAATTCTCCATCCTCTCTTTTTTATTCTCCCTCACTGACTCTCTCTCACTCATGTATTTTCTATAGAACATCATAAAACAGCTTTTTCTAGCTCACATCTCAAGCTATGTTAAAATACGGAAATCACACTTACAAGCTTTTATAATACCTTTTTATCTTTTATATTTCCTCCTACTAAACTAAATCCGATTCAGACAACCCGTAGCCTTTTGTTGTTGTTGTTGTTGTTGTTGTAGCTGGGAGGGGGGGGGGTTGTTTGTTTTTGGGTTTTTTTCAAACTTACACTTTTGTGCACATATTATACTTACTGTTCTTTCATTGACATGAAATAAATATGTCATGCACGTCATTGTTTAGCAGTATTACTGGACGACCATTCCTATACAGCCCCCAACAGAAGCCATGCTATTGCCCTTTACCTCTATGGTTACTTGCACTGATAATTCGATGTACCTGGAAGCCATTATTAAAACAGAAATTTAAACAGTTAATGTATCAGTGTCTAACATTTGCTTTTTAATTATTTTTTCCGAACTTTTTGTTTCTATTTAGTTAGAAATAATATCACTGCACTGCAAATAACTCTTTCTCATACTACAATCATTGAAATCTTATGAAGTTCAAGTTTTAATGTCGTTTTGTGTTACAAGAAAAGGGCACTGCTAGCGAGAGAGAATAAGTTCGCAAAAAGTTGGTCAAGGTAAGATGATAACGCCTGTGTTGCAAAATACATTTACACAGAATAATAATATCTTGGAGAAAAGGTGTCTAGCTTAGAGACTTGCTGGTGGTAGGAGGGCTTCCAAACGTACTCTGCTCATTCTGTTTCATTTTAGAATAAAAATCGTCCTTATTTTCTGCCCGGAAAAATGTGTCCATTATGAAGTTGGCTCACAAAAAGCCTCACTCAACAAATGTTTTAAAAGTGTTAATGACGTAGGTACAGAAGTGTGGTTTTTTAAAGAATTTTTTTTGGTCTGTCTATACGTATAAGTCAGACAGAATGTGCCCTTTTTGCGTAACACGGTAGTTTGTATTCTTAGATCTTTTCACTTGCCCTGTTTTTAGCGAGACGAATCCCTTCTGTCAGCACGCATTTATCTTCTTCAAACGCCATTATGGTGATGTCGGGAGCAAACTTGTCAAGCCTGGGTGGGATTCCCGAACTTTTCAGAAGTCAACCGTCATGTAACATAATACTCAAACACATTCTGTATCAGCTGTGCCGAAGACGTAAAAAAGTGTGTTTGTGTGGGGGTGTTTGGGGGTTAGTGGTTATTTTGTTGTTGCTTCGTTGTCGTATTTTTATGTTGTTGGGTTGGTTGTTTGTTGTTTTGTTTTGGTTTTGGTTTTTCGGTTTTTTTGGTGTGTTTTTTGTGTGTGTGTGTGTTTTTTTTTGTTGTTGTTGTTGGGTTTTTTTTGGGGGGCAATACGTTATGTATTCCACTGAAATGGTGAAATGAGAAAAGTAACTGCACAATATCAGACAATCATTCGTGTATATGTAATGAAATAAACTTGTAAGGACTTAGACACGACTTGACAACCGACATCTCTAAATAGAAATGGTGTTGCACATGTGCATGAAACAAGTCTCTTCCGTAGTTATAGATCATTACTGTTATGTCTTTCAAATTGCCTTTTCCCAAGTTACAAATAAGGCGGACCTGGAACTTCCCCATGTCTCTGTTATTGAACTGTTTTTACAGTACATTATCGCCAGATGTGTTAATGTTTGACCCAGTAGAAAAGCAGATTCGAGTTCGATTCTGCTATCAATATATAGACAATCATGAAATGGAGCAAGATTTGTGTTGCTTTCTTTGTTTTATACTTATTGATTTGCATTGATGAATGTCGGTGTTGATGTCGCTAATGTTGGTGGTGGTGTTGGTGTTGTTACTGTTGTTCTTGTTCTTGTCGTTGTTGCTTTTGCTTTGTTTTGTGCTGTTTGTTTTGGTAAGTGATGGTCTTGTTTGGTCTGTCGATTGATTTGGTTTTGGATTGTTATTTGTTTGATTCTGTTGTTTGTTTGGGGTTTGGAGTTGTTTTTGTTTGGTTTTTTTACGTTCAGCTTTTTGTTGTCTTTTTTTCCTGGGGGG